GCCAGAGATGCAGCAGGAACAAGGGATTAGTGAAAAAATCAAGACAGAAAAGAGTGATTTGGAAACTTTATCCCTTCCCATAACCACTGATTCAGTGAAGTGTTTTTTCTGCACTGCAGCAATAGCCAGCAGCGTACACAGAATAAGGATTGAAATATTTTGAAGTGCTGTCACAGTGTGAGTGATTTTCTTTAGAGCATAAAATCAGACCGCAAAGTTATTTTCTGTGTGTGGCAACACAAGAAGAATATGAATGTGATCAAATCTGGCCCTGGGCATACAGGAGAGCAGAACTGGCCTCAGCCACATTATCTTTTTTATTCAGAGTCCTTCTAAGAAATATAAAATCCAAAAGAACTTCTGAATCTGGCTGGATGTCTCCTAAGAGGAACAGGATTGCTGCATAGCTGAAACAGCGTGACTTTGATTATTTGAAAATGCATGATTTAATCATTTCATTATGCATACCTTTTCACAGCAGGCACCGCAGCCTAAAACAGACAGAGACAAGCATTAGATAAAACAACATGCTTTCTAGCTAAAGAGATTGGAATCAAAGAGTTTAATCTTGCAAGGCACTGCTATCTGTGTGCCTTTAGACTTGGCTGCAAACAGCAGGTGAGCAGCATAGCGTGAATCGAGCCTCTGCTCAGAGTGCCATCCTGCAGGATGACTTTGCTTCCTGCCTTCTGCAGGGCACCTGTCCATGTCTCATCTCCCTGCACACAGCCATTGCGGGCAGAGTGCTGGCAGTGTCCTCTACTGGAAAGTGGAAACACCAGAGCCAATGCTTTGCCCTACCCCACAAGCAAAGTCTGCCCTATGCAATGAGATGCATGCTGCACAGCAATGCAACCTGGACATGCTTGTAAGTTGGACTTGTTTATCAGAGGAGCACAGTGTCCCAAAGAGCCCATTTTGATTGCAGAGCAGAGCCTGCACTCACAGTGCAGCTCTCCCATTCTCCATTGGTTTTGGCCAACAGCTAAATGAAGGTGACAGGCTGATGGGTGGACTAGATGATCTTAGCAGTCTTTCCAATCTTAATGACTATGATTCTAAACTATAATGCCTCTGATTTCTAATGAAAATAAAGGAACGTAAATGATGATCTCACAGGAAGAAGACCCCAGATGTGAGCTTATGAAATAGTGTCATAGTGCTGGAAATAGAAAGTTCAGGACGTGACTTTTAGGATCGAGAAAGCCGGTCAGATCTTCCCAAAACCTTCCCTGTAGAGGACAGCTGCAGTATCCCCAGCAAAAGGTCCACACTAATGTGCTTCAGCCAAGCCTGCAGAACTTCCCTGGGAAAGACCAAAGTCTGCAAGCTCCCTGCCTACACCAAGACCAGGACAGGAGAGGTGGCAGCAACAACACCATCCCCTCCCCACTAGAAAGAAGGCTGAGAGCACCAATCAGCCTCCTACAGACTGAAACTGGCTTCACCCAGCGACCCAAGGAGGCAAAGCTCAGTTCCTGATCCTAAATCATGGGTTCAGGGCCAATTAAAAGGTGCTCAAAGGGCAGCAAAGCATCAGAGAGTGCTTTGATCTCACAGCTATCAGCCAGATGTGTAATAGCTGCTCAGGTATCAGTAACAGTCTGTGCACATCAGACAGACAGGTTTCTTCCTGGGTTTGCTAACAGAAGCAGCAGTTGCTCACAAATCACAGGGAACAGAAATAATCCCTGCCTTTTTAAACATCAAAACTTGTAAAGCTTCACAGCTGTACAATTCTGAAATTGAATTGAATGACTTGACTTGCCAAAACCTGAGATCAGAGTTCTAGGTCTTTCATGCCACAGCTGAAAGCATTAATAGCACTCAAAGAGCAGCAGAGTTGCCTTTCAAACGCCAATTGTGGCTTTACAGGCACTATTGGATCTTACCCTTCAAACACAGCAGCCTCAATTCAAAATGGGTGTGGGAGTAAAGCAAACTGATTTTTAGCGTGAACATTTTATTATTTAAAGGACTGATTTTTCTTTCTGAAGTAATAACAAAAGCTACTTAAGGAATCTGAATTTCAATTAGTTTTTGAATTCACAATAAAAAGCATTTGAGTTCTTTAAGCAGGAGGGCAGCAGAGTATTATCTCTGTGAGGGACGAAGCAATGATTCAAAAGCAGTGTTCCTGCAAACACAGACCTGAGCACACAGGGATCTAGGATAAAAGGCTGTGAGGGGAGGTGCTTTAAGTTCTCAGAAATTGCTTTCTGCTTTGACTGAGAAGAGTCCCAGGTCTTCTGACTTCTGATGCTGTGGGGCCACACTGCTCAATCAGATCGTCTGCTGAGATACAAATCTGCTGCCTTCACATATTGTCCCACAACCTGAAATATCTGAACAGCTCAACATCAGTTATGCATCTGTCCTTTGACTCCTGGCACCGTTACTGTCTACCTTCCACAGAAGAGAAAACCAAAGTGTTCTGAACCTAAATGTTAGCATCTCTTTTACTTGTTGGTGATTGCATTGTGCACCCAGGTAATTACAAATAAGTACAGTTTCATTAACAGTGGAATAACTGATTCCAGCAATAAGATCAGAAGTATTCTTCTTGCAAACACAAGGATCAGCCAACTCTTTACTCACCACCCTGTCACCTCTGCCAAGCTGAGCAGGAGAGCTTCACTCAAGGGCACATCTAATTACCTGAAGAGACAACCTATGAGACTCTGACATGAAAGACTAGACTGAAACATACATATACACAATATATACTCAATACTTGTGTAGAAATAGCATCAGAGAATCACCAAGGCTGGAAAAGACCTCTAAGATCATCAGGTCAACCTATCCCCACCATGCCCACTGAGTCTTCCTGGTCCTGAAAACCCTGGATACTTATTCCCAGTGACAGATACATACTCTTCCTGTGTACAACACACCTCCTCTGCAGAACACAGAACCAATTCACAACATGGTAGAGAGAAGACAAATGAAAGCAAACCAAAACGAGGACAGTGTAATTTTTAAAATCTTCCTCTGCTTATGTTACCAGCACTTTCCAAATGAATGCTATCTTTGTGTCTGATGTTCCCCCAAAAGCAATGCTGATAATGCACAATTTCAGGACCTACTCAGAATCCACAGATGGGCATAATCTGGTTACGTTGGCTCTGAACCAGAAACAGCCCATACCCTGAGCTATGAGCCCCTACCCTGAGCTATGGGCCCCTACTTACTGATATCTGGCACTTGTATTCGTAACACTCCAGGAGCTGCATCTGAGCTTCCTGCACCTTTACTGTGTTTGGAGGGCATGAGCCTTACTTTGCATCTTGAGACTACTTAGTGAATGACTTACAGAGGGGAAAAGAAAAAAAAAGAAAAAAGAAAGAGCAAACCTGCAGCCTATTTCACATTCCCAAGCTTCTTTGAATCTGTACAAATGCTAGGAAGCAGCCAGACAACAGACGCATCAGGAAATTAGCTTGTCTCTTCCAAGAGCACACATTAAAATGAAGAAAGATGAAGAAAGAGATGAAGATCAGGGGACCTGATGCCCTTCAGGGACTGCTGCTGGAAGCTCCGCCTTTAGGTGATAAAGGAGGAGGTGGTTAATCCAGGGCAGACGCAGCAGATAGCGTTTCTGTGCTTGTACCACTCTGTACAACATTAGTCCAGACAGGAGTCTATTAACAGTGTCTGATGGAAGCAATTGTATTATTTATTAAACTGACAAGATCAATTGGCTGCTTTGTACCAGGATAAAGAGAACTATTGTACTTTCATGTCCTTTTAAACACAGAGAATAAAGCGCTCCCCAGGGTGCTTTCATGGGCTGCCTTCGATTAAGAGTTCTTAGAACATTTGATATTGTCAGAGATCAGCTCACCAGATTCCCAACTGGATTTGCAGCCCTGACAAAAGGAAAGAAGATGGTAGCAATTATAATTAACAGTGAGCAGAGAAGGAAGGACCTCACCTGACTTAGAGGAGTGCTGTTACTTACTCTTCCCACAGACTGAGCTCCCAGATCCAAGTTCATTGCTATTCAGGACACGATGCCAACAAAGTATATGGACACCAAGCTTGACTCACAGAGTATGGGAGGGAGTACATCCAGAGGATGCAACTTTATGAACTACACAGTGGACAATTGCAGTTAAATTTGAGTGGATGAATATGCTAACATAGTGGCATACTTGATAAATCAACAGCAATGCTCCCTTGGAGTGAATATTTATGGGTAATTATGGAATTTTCCATGAAATCTGAATGCCTCTTTTACTACATACTCCTAAACAGAGGTGTGCTCTGATAGCACTGAAGCCAGGCGCTAGCTTCGAGGATGGACAAATTCTTTGTGGGTACCAAAGCCAAAGGGTTGTAACCATGTCATGACAAATCACCATTTTCTGTTTGTCACCCTCAAACTGAAGCCCCCCAGGGAACCTTGAAACTGACAGTAAATCTTTGGAGGACTTCCATGGTTTCAATCCTAATTTATATGACTGCAACCAAATGGTAAGTTTGCTTTATATTCAAATCCAGTTATTTTGTTTTGTTTTTCATTTGATTTTGCCTGGTCTTTGCTATTAGTACAGAAAATACATCAATTTTATGCTGAAATCTGTACAGCTCAGTGTAGCTCATTTAATTACTGCCCAAAATTTCAGGAATAGAGGCAGATGACCATTGCACGACATTGGCTCCTGTTCAGTTCCTGCTCTTCTATGCTCTCCTGATTCTTTCCTATACCACACCTGGTGTTCAGCCTTTGCTAGCTCCTGGCTAGTTTCAGTTTTGAAAGTGAGCTTCAAAAATACTCATTTTTTTTCTCACATTCTACTATTTAAACTGTAATATGCAACCAGCTGCTGCTTTATCCCTACCAAAGTTAGTAAGTCTCACAATTAGTGGTGTGCAGCCATTAGTGTACCAACATAAAACAGCAAAGCCTGTGCCCCACCTTCCGGCTGCTGAGCAGCACTGCATGAAAAACATCATGGTACCCTCAGGTATGTAATGTCCAAATTGTTGCAGCTTACCAAAATACTGGTCTTTGAGTTTGGGTGCTTTATCCTTTCATAGTGAAGTTACACTGGGAAAGTGTTCCATCACCACACGAAGGTCACTGAATTATTCATGGCTGCAGGAGGACAACAAGAGAAACGTTCAGTAGCAGAAAAAGCAAGAAATGACCCATAGAAACAAAAGGAGGGAATTGCAAGTGAAATATTTGTGGCAAGGAAAGGCAACAAGGACATGGGTTAACCAAAGCATAGGTGAGCACTGAGATTTGGCCATCACCCAACATCAGTCAGCCCACGTTCCAGACCTACACCTCCCCTGCATTTGAGAACAGAACAGTGGGTGTAGGCAGGCACTTAAGCGCAGCTAACTACAAAAGTTCTCTTGTCCACCTTTAAAGTGTCTATCAAGAGATGATTTATTAAATTTCTTACAAATTGCACTGAGAAAATGAACAGAAGAGCCTACAATTTTAGGTGTAAGCTTGACAGAAATAGTCAAGTTTACAGACAGAAATTCCTCACATGCAGGGATAGCTAAACGTGCTCACAAGATGTTCTTGATATCATAACCACCCCATGGTCCAAGTTTGTAAATACAGAAATATAAACATATTCCAAAGAACCAACTGTGTGAGGGTACAGCATAACTCACCCTGCTGGGGGTCATTGGTGTCTCAGCACAGCAACACATGTACTTCCCTGTTAGTAGGTAACTGTGGGAAATATCTATCTGAGAATGGAGCAGTGCATGGGGATCACAGGAAACTCCTGCTTATCACAGCTTGTCTCAGGGGTCTCTCCTTTTCTGTACTCTATTGGTACAGACAATTTCAGGAAATCTGTAGGGCTTGCTTTTGAGATACCAAAGCAAATATACAGTGTACAAACATTATTCTAATAGGCAAAACATTGAAGCTTTCAAGTTCCTTTCCAGTGTGGCTATATTCCAACAGACACACCCTAGTAATGCAGCTCGAGGTGAGTTTCTCCACTCAATCATCACTCACAACTTTTCCTTCACAGCATCCTTCCTCCCCTGCCCAGCTGCAGTCTCAGAGCAGCAGGGGCTTTTTCACCTCTTACACAAGAGCAGTAGTGGCAAATGGAGAACACTTTCATGGAAAAGCACCTCCACTTACAGCAAAGTACCTGCGTCACAGCGGGAGCTCTTCCTTGTTTGGGCACCTTTGTCTTTCTGGGATCAGTACTTCCTGATTAAATACACTTAGTGGATATAATCTTCTAAGCTGTAATTAAAAGAAGACAAGTTTAAGCTGATATTGTAAAGTGATCTAACAGGGACTGTTGCAATATCCTGCTCAATAGAAAGAGACATATCTCTAAAGTACAGTTTTATAGGATCATATTTAAATTACTATTATTCTTATGTGAACAAACAGAATCTAAAGGGTCTACTTACCCTGCAGTGTCCTCAAAAATCTGTGTTGGGTTGCAAAGCCAAACATGCATAGATAAGAAAATAGTCCAAAGTCAAACTTTCTCTTGCAATCTTGATTTGCTTTCTCTGACTTAGGGATTCTTATATGATCCCATCTCTTTACCACAGGATTGTTTCTTGCTCATGTCACTACGTGTGTCCAGCAATATTCCAATGTTTTCAGTGTCTGAATGTTCATGGGCCACCATCGTGCTTGACCTTTTCCACTTCACCTCTGAATACAGAGAGCTGAACTTTCTTTGTGTCCCTCTGCCATCCTTAGCAGTGCTATACCTCAGGTGCCATCTTTAGGTCTCCTGTAGGAGCATATTAAAAGCACATACCACTGGGATTGCCCTGCCTGTGCAAGCCCTTGCACTGATGGAACATACCTGGTTTTCCCCACTGAACACCTGTAGCAGAAGCCTCCTTTGTTCTTTTTCCAGCTTTGCCAGGGCAGGATCAATAAGAACTTATTACATGACCGGTCTCTTGTGCTTAATTGTGTGCATATTGATGTGAGTGCTCAGAACTGAGCAAGCCTGAGTTCAGCTCTCGGAGCACCAGATTTAGAAAGCATTTTGAATATAGCTTCGCTCTTCCTTCTCTGTGAGTGAGTATCCCCAGGGAGTTCAGGTCTCACAGGAGCAAGGCACAGAGAACTGGGACAAGATTCATGCTCCGTCTTCAGTTAAATACTTTCATACAGCAGGAAAACGCTTCCCCTTCCAGCAGGCTTCAAAAATCTCGCAAACAGAGCCATGGCTCCTTGTGCAAGGTTACATGGAAAACATGGGAGATGGACAGGCAGAGGACAACCCTGGGCAAAGCCTAGAGAAGAGAATTTAAGCTTCTAAAGCTAAATTATTAAAGTTAAAATGGACTTTGACTCTGAAATCATAGACCAATGCAAATGTTTCATCACTAATAGTGTGGACAGTAGATGCAAATGGGAATATCATCCTTAAATAGATTTATTATTTTTTAAGTTTGTGCTTTACTCAAATAGAACTTTCTACCCACTGAAGGGCTAGAAAATGTCAGCATTTGCTTTTTCTTCACTTACAACATTGGGTAGTTTGCCTGGGGTCTTCTCAAGGTCATTCTTTCAGAGGACTGATTTTCAGTGTCAGGATCATAAAAAGAAAGGGCATAAAGCAAGCCATGAGCAGAAGGGAAAGCATTCCTGTTTCCTAAACCAACAGTCTGCCATAGCAAAGCCAGAAAGCATCCAAAGTCCTTTTCCAGATTCCCTTACTGAGCCCGGCTTGCAGCATCCTCTGACAGCATGACACTTCTGCCACAAGAGCCTTTATGTAGCAAAAGCAGAACCGGCAGGCTAAACTAAGCCACAGAAAATGCTTTCTAGGCAGTGATAGCATTACCCTATTTACTCCCAGCTCTGCTGAAGTGCTGCCTATAAAACCTGCTGCAGTGATTTATTCCGCTCTCGTTTCAGAATTGTCAAGAACTCTGCCTTCCTGCTACAAATCTGCCTCCCTGTGCTCACAGAATAACCCAAACAAATATGGGAGCGTTTACAGTCGTAAATTCTACATCGCATTTAGGCGTATAGATTAAACGTGATGTATATGGAAGCTGCCTTTTGCAGCGGCAAATGCCCGATGTGAGGCTGTTCTGCCGGTAGATGTCACCAGGAGCAGAGGAAAGAAAGCACGATGGCCGATCCCAGCTGCCCCGCTGCCGTCAGTTGGGAGCTCCGATAACAACCCCCGAGCAGGAGGCTGTCGGCACTAACATGATTCATCAGCAGCTCTGCTTCCTGACCTGGTGGGTGCAGCCCTGGAGGAAGACACGCGTGACACCCTGCTGCACTTTGTACAGCAATGCAAAATGGTTTCGCGCAAACCTGTTCCTCAGGCTGAGTCTCCCTACGTAAGGGAGAACAGAGGGAGATTCCAAGGTTAGGAGTTCCCACATCCCTGTCACCTGCAATCCTTGGCCCCAGAGGTTATTCAAATCGCCTGACACAATCTTTCCTTTGGATGCAGGATCCCTGAGCTGGTTCTCCTCTTCCCTGCTGTGAGCAGAGCCTTGGAATGTGAAGGGGAATGCTTCTGACGGCATCACCAGGCTGGGTAGCGGAAGGATGGGATTTCAGGATGTTTAAAAATTAATATTCCTATAAGAAGGATGTTTATAAAGAAATCCGAATGCCTTCGAAACCCAACCCTCCCCATTTCCTCCTGTCTCTGCACAAAAACGTCTCCTCCTTATCCAGCTTAGTTCCCCTAGAGAGAAAAAGGGGGAGAAGTAAAATAAATAGCAATTTTATTGGATTTTTTTTGGGCTTTCTGTTGGGTACTTTTCCTGTGCTAGATCACATCCTTCTGTTTTACTTTATGTAACAGCCACCTAAAACAAAGCACAGCAAAACTGCAGACATAACCCACCAGGTAGCATCCAAACTTATATCTCCTGCTCCCAAAGAATTCCACACAAAGCAGGGAGCCCACCATGTTCAGCACGGCCTCTGAGGTGCCAGGGAGCAATGGCTGTCTATCAGCTTTTCAGTTCCATAGGAGCTATGAAGTTCTCGTTTTCTCCATCATTTCAAAAAGGGGAATTTCCTGAGGGCGCTCCCAACTGCTTCATGTTCATCAGTGTTATTTTCAGACGGGAAAGAAACAGAAATTCAACCCAACCTAGCTCCCTCCATTTGGAAAGCTGCTGTTTCTCCCATAAAGACCTTGGTGAAGCTAAACCCTTTATAGGGCTCCTTAAAAAGAGGAGTAGCAAAATATCAGAGAACAGCAGAGAGGGACTAAGGAAGAAAGCATTTCCCCTACCGATAGATGCACGTACCACTTAGCAAGAGCTTCTTTTAGGCTGCAGGCTCCAGGTCACACATCACCTGTATGGCACTTATACTGAAAAAAAACAGTTCATGGAAGTGAAAGGCTCAGCGAAAAGAAATATTTTTCTGTCAGTGAGTGAAATTCAAATATGATGTGTTAAAGTGAGACATAAATGGTACACAAGAGAGAACATCAACTCTACCGAGCAGTCTGAGGAATATAAGGCTGTGTTACTTCTTTTTATATCAGAATGGGCAAAAAAAAAGATAGTAAAAATGCAAAGTTTACAAGCAGTCTGCTCTCCCAGAAACATGCATATTTCATCTTGTGTACTACTTTCATCCCCAGCAAAAAAAGGATTCTGAATCTTTTATTTTGCTGCATCTTAGTTATTGGGATCTGGTCCTATGAAAATGTGCAAGAATTTCCTTCCATAATCCTTAGAAAAAAAAGATTAGAAGCTGAATTAAAAGATCTGTGGAAAAAAAAAAGCAAAACCTCTTAAGTGCAGTTGATCAAAAGGCTTTTTTGTTTCTTTCATTAAAATTTTTCTTCACTGTGATCATCAAAATTTTAAGTTGCAATGGAAAACTTCAAAAATGGGTTCTCATTTAAAAAAGAAAAAAAAAAAAACCAAAAAAAAAAAAAAACAAACAAGGCCTATGGCAAACACAAAAATGAGAAGAGAACTTCCCCAAAGAAAAGCATCGTTTGCTTTTCCAGCTGAGTTTGTTTTTCTTCAGTGGGCAGCCAGCTCTGCTCTGGAAACAACATCAGTACAGCAGGATGTGAAACTCACCGTTGTCTGGCCAGGATGACAGCTGTCCTCACAAAACTTACACCCTGTCTCTGGAGTTCACACAACATTCCTTTCTCCTGCTACACCGCTGCAGATATCTGCAGCAAAGCACTGCTCTTTGGTACAGTTAGCACTTGGTGGCAGGATTAGCTGCAGGGATCCATTCCTCTTCAGTCTGAACCGATTCTCCCATTTTCAAACGCAGCAGCTCATCCGGGATTCAGTCCCTTGCTTTTTGCAGCAGTACAAGCTTACCCACATTTTTTACGGGTTCAAAAGCAACTAGGCAAACTGAGGATGGAAAAACACATCCAGGATCTCAGATCAAACCCAAGTACCAGTGATACTACAATGCAGACAATGCTATGAAGGTGTACAAGAGAACTGCCACGGTTTGCATTCTCTGTTCTTTTAATTTCCCCAATGTTGGATGTTGTAAGAGGCTGTATGGACCTCATCATGGCTGTTCAGACATTAAATCTCTGTTCAGATAAACCTTCCAGCTGGAAATCAATGTAAGTAACTCCATCGATATCAGCTTTTTTTCCATTTGGTATTTTAAGATGGGTTTTCAAAGATGAATGAATGCAGTAGAGTAATATTTTATGAACATGGTAAAAGAAGACATTATGAAGGCTAAAACCTCCCTCACCTTCAGTGAATATGCTGACAGAGTTCTAAACCAGCATTCCAAACTGAGAATCCCTTCCCAATTCCTGCTTCAGTTTTCTCCCAAGTTCTGCTTCTGCTTTGTGGCACTCAGGCATACGGTCAGAGAGCATGGAGGAGATGGGTTGATGGTTGAATTGGATGATTTTAAGGTGGTCTTTTCCAACCTTTGTGATTCTATTTCCTCTTTTTAGCAGCTTCTTCAGGGCAAAAATGAGAAGAGGTTGGTTCGTTCCAGGCCCTCCACAAAGAGCATCCCTGTGCTTTTATATATGAACTGCTATAGGGAATAACACAAAGTCAAGACGAAGACATTTCTGAAATAAAACACAAACCCAAGAAAACATTTAAGTAGATATTAGAATTAAAGGGATTTTTTTTGAAACTCGTTTGGATCCAAATGACCAAAGTTTGTTTTTTGCCTTTTGCACGGAATAATCCCCATGTATGTAAATTTAAGTTGGGCAGTTATTCCAATTCATGGGTCCCCTATATCACTGTCAAAAGGTGTTCCTACAGGCCAGCATTAGGAGAGCTAAAAATCTAGACAGGAATCTCATTGCTATTCAGATTATTCCATTTTTTCTACAGTGAATGCATTCTGCCTGAGAGCTGCTCGCTGACGGCACGGTGCAGTATTTTTTGGAGATGAAGGAAGCAGAACAAAATAGCTAAGAAAAGGAACAATCCACCAGATAATAGTGGGGAGGTTTCCATACATTCATCTTTCTAGCTGTTGCCAATATTCAAGATATATCTGTACATGCTAGTTAGAAACATGGAGCTTTACTGCACAGATAAGCTATAGAGATCAATTATAAAAGCTTCTAAGGTACCTTCAAGAGCAGTCAGCAAACAAGCATAAGGATGTTATCAGGAGGGCTCTCAGCCAGCAAATTCTCCTAAATAGCCCAGAGCTGTATTGAACAGCTCACACTGGAAGATCAGGGAATCAGGACAATCTATGAAACTATCTTAATGCTGACTTAGTAATTGCCTGCAAATACAACTCATCCTACGTTAGATGAGGCCTGGGGGACTTAAATCCTGTCAGCTCCCCCAAACAGGTTATGAATGGAGTTTTAAGTGATGTCGACACTGTATGCAGATTCCTCTCCAGGGAATAGTTTTGTTTTTGTTTTGTTTTGTTTTTGCCACATTGCCACAGGAAGAATCCATCACCTGGTAATTTTATTCCATTCGTAAGGCTGTGAACAACTTTAGCAAACAGCAGCTGAATTAACCAAAGCCAGTCTCAGTTTAGGATGAGTTCAGGTTGGATATTAGGAAAAATTTATTATCTGAAAAAGTGGTTGGGCAGTGGCATAGGCACAGGCTGCCCAGGGAGTGCTGGAGTCACCATCCCTGAAGGTGTTCAGGAAATGTGGAGAGGTGGCACTGAGGGATGTGGTCAGTGGGCAGTGTTGGTGGGAGGTTGACAGTTGGACTAAATTTTCCAACCTTAATGATTCTATAGGGCAGCATTTTACCACTGGGGCTGTAGCACACAGACAGCTGAGCCTTCTGACGCTTTCCGAGCCAAAAGAAAACCAAAAGTTGGATTAAAATTCAAGTTTCACTGAGCTCTGACCTTTTGGAAATACTAAGCTCCATCTGAACTCTTACCATTTCCATCGCATCATTTGGATGTTGAAAGACTGAATCCTGTTCAAGAAAATTCACAAGAATTCATGCCCAAAGACCATACTACACAATGGACAACGCTACCAGCTCATGCACTGAACCTGCCCCATAAAAGCCAGTTTCCCCATTCACTTCCAGAGATTTTTCTGAACTCTGCTGTTTCTTTTGTTCTGCTCCTTTCTGGCTTTCTATCTCTTGCTAAGTATTTTCTCTTCATCTCCATATTCAAAGCACAAAGCTACATATGCAGAAACTAATCACTTTCAAAACCTCTCTTTGTGGATGCGTGCAGCTTGCCTCTGCTGAGAAACAGCCGTCTGTGGTTCATCTCAGCAACACAGACAGACACATCTGCTTGGTGTGACCAGAGAAACTGGGAGGGCTGCCCTCCACCAGCAGCCCGGGGCACTTGCTGGAGGCACAGTGCGTCCTCTGATGCCTGTTGTACTTGTGTTGTTTCTGGAGCTGCAATACAGTACGCAAGCAAGGGGCATGAAGAAAGACTGTGCTCCATTTAGATTTAGCCAGTGTGTTCTTAACTCTAATTGCTTTAAGTGGTTGAAAAAGCTGACAGGGTATAATTGATATGGAGTCTTATTGCCTGTCCCTTGATAGTGACATTTTTAGAGCTGTGCTTGCTGACTAGGGACAAAAAAATATTAGGAGCTCAAAATCACCTGCTATTGGCATGGGCTGGAGAGACACTCCATGTAGCAACAAATCTGAAGAGCAGAGGACAACTACACGGCGTGCGCACCTGGGCACAGACAGGCAATAAAGTGCCTCACACAGAACATCAAATATGCAGCAATTTAATGTGGAAGAGAGATCTTCCCTCAGTTTCATGGATTTATGACGCGCTTTTGAAAGGTGTAAAAAATAAGCTTAAGTAGTAGACTTTAAGCCTTTAAGTCAAGATGCACACAACTTATCTACCCAATTACACAACTGTGGGGCTGCCAACACGCTGCAGCACTGGCTGCACTGAACAGGCAAGCCCCTTCTCCAACAAAGTGTTCCAAAGCCTTTGACAAGTCATTATTTCTCTGAAATCCTGAATATACTCCAGACTGGATCATTATTAAGCCTATCAGCCTGTCAGAATGTACTTTGGAGGTTGAGAGGAATGGAAATAAGGAATGTTTAAGGAGTTGCCTTCCATTCCCCCTCCTAGATAAAGCTGGAACGCAGAGTGGCCCAACCCACGTAATTGTGTCTAACCCACGACACACACTCCCTTCACACATTTCTCAGGGAAACAAAAACAAACAGAAAACCAAGCCTTCCAAATCTGTAAGGGAAACTCAGATTTTTGCTAAACAGGCAGCACCAGATCATTGCTGTGATTTCAACTCTACCATTCATCAGAATTGAGTAAACCAATTTTAGAAGCAGAAGAAGCAGCCATCTTCAGTCAAGATCAGAAATGTGATGGTGAACCTTGTACATAACATAACTCTGAGTATGGAAAATTGAATATAATCAGTTATGCTGGTTAAATTGCACGTGGGTGGAATTTAAGTGAGCTGTGAGCAACTTCAGCGCAGAAATCAGATTAAGCATGGGAGAAACTCCAGTGTGTGATTATCGTGTGTTAATTACTCAAGATTTTGACAGAGCCCAAAGCTCGGTCAGCCCAGCCCTCGACAATGAGGAGACAGCTTAAACACGTGAGCATGAAACTATCGCATTTGTTAGTACTCCAGCATTTCCAGGGCAGTCCACGAGCTTCTGATGAAACCTCAGGGATGCTGATTCATGAGAAACCCTGGGGGACCAGAGCAAGGTCCAGAACCCAGAGAAGATGACATTAAGTCAGTTGCAGTGCAGACCTGTTTGATAACCTTTTAGAATTGGGTCACCACCAACTGTTCACATATGTGGAGTTCTTAGAAAAACCTGTCTGGTCCTGGCATCCATTTGATCTGCTCTTCGTGCTGTTACCACAGCAACTGATGCTTGAATGAAAATCACTTTGCAAGCTGGATGTACAGACTGCCCCGTCACGTCACATGGTGGCAAAAGTAGAAGCTTGAGGCAGGTCTGGCAGGCATTTATCTGCAGCTTACTACAAGAGCCTGCAGCCTTATTTTCCATTTGTTCTTTTTTCTTTTGACAGAATAAGCACCAGAACACCATTTTTTCCTCTATCAGAAAATACTCCGTAGGTCAATCACGGAAATGAAGCCTGTTTGGGCTGCTGTGTGCTCTAAACAGCTCAAAAATTCAGTATTTGCATTATGTTTCCAAGTCACATGGAAATTGAACTTATTTTTTCTGTAAATGCTATTGCTGAGAGATATAATAGTAGCCATGTACCTTTGCAGAAATATAAGATGCTTTACAAAAGTACAAAAATCTAATTAGCTGTTCCCTAAGGGATTCAGATTTCTTCTGTTGAATTTGACCCACATTTATTTAATGCTTTAGGGAATACAGACCTAATATTGCAGTTCCTTGCTATTTCATGCTGGGCGACACAGACTCTAAGATTCATTTTGTTTTGATGACGGGAAATTCTGTGTACACAGAATTTTACAAGTATATTACATCAACTGATGCAACCTGTGCTATTCTCCCAGTTGAGTGATGTTCAGCTCTGGACAGCTCTGCAGTAGGAGAGAGAAAGAGAGAGAGAGAAAGTACAACATAGAAAGAAAAATAAGAGAAAGACTGAGGCATACTGTTATAAGAGGTGAGAAGCACACAGGATAACTAAACCTGAACCCACAGAATGGTTGAGAATGTCAGGGACCTCTGGGTCAACTGCTGCAAGCCCTGCTCCAGCAGGGACATCCAGAGCAGTGCCCAAGACCACTCCATGTAGTTTCTGAAGACCTCCAAAGAGGAGATCCCACCACCTCTCTGAGCAGCCTGTGCCTGACTGCTCCAGTAACCTCACAGTAAAAAAAAGTTTCCTGATATTCAGGAAGAACTTCTTGTGTCTCAGCTTATGCCCATTGCCTTGTCCTGTCAAAAAATTTGGTAATTCATTGCGCAATTAAGCAATTTCTTTCCCGTGCTTTTAATTCTGCTGGGTGACAATTTTCATTTCTCTGATTGCTTCATCGTGACAAATGCTGCTTTTAGCTTCCATTGTAATAAAGCCATGCTCGGTGGAAAGAAACAGTCTTACACTTCATTTGAAATATATAGGAAAAGTTGAAAATATTAATTAGCAAATCCTAATGTGAATCTGCTCTGTAAAATGGAAATATTGTAACTAGAAAAAAACAACTCAGTAGGAGGATATGATGCATACACTATACAAAAACATCAAATTCTGAGATAAAATTACAGATATTTTGAGTATGGACCAAACAACCCTATAAGAAACAACTAAGCTTTTTGCTGATTTCAGTCAGGTAAAAGCTACTGAAGTAATGAAGGATGGAAATGAAGTAATTAAGAAAGAAAATTCCAAACCTTAATTTGACCCTTTACTTCTAATGATTCATTTAATAACGTGTACATAATAATATTGAATATCTGATTTGGAAAAGCAGCATGCCCATCATACCATGACTCTCTCAGCAGTAAATCACTGCCCACCACTTTCAGTCTGTGGGGGCAGAGGACAATCATTCCCTTGTCCGTTAACAAATACCCTGTTTTTGTTCTCACCTTTCTCCAGTGACTTCACTTAGTTTTCTTTAGCACAGATAACAACAATATTTACAGCTCCTGTCTTCAGGCCAAGCAATTGTTTGCAGGGCTGCAAAGCCATTTTACCACTGGTGTTGGCAGGAAGCAAGACATTTCTGCACTGATCAGGGCTTTGTTTTAAGGTGCCTCAGTCCCTCTGACTGCCTAGAAAGATTGCCAGTGGCTATGCTTACAAGATTTGATGTGTTAAACTCGTGGCAGTGTTTTGCAGGAACGCTCCTAGGAAGTTTTGAGCTTGTCCCACATTAGAGAGACCCAATCTACAACATTACAATAAACTCTAGCAGAGGCAGTCTCAGCTTCTCCCTGCACACTTCTTCCTAAATTATAGTGCTTTCTGTGCCTTATAAGTCAAGTGTTAAGATAAATTATATGAAAAAGAAACCCAGTCCTGCCTTGAAGTGCATTCATATTCCACATGAGCTCTGAGTACAATCCTGGTGGATGCCACCATCTTACTCCAGATATTGATCTGATGGAGCAAGAATTAGGCATCTCAACTTTTGGTCTGAACTAGTATGCACCATAATGCTTGGCATAGTATCAGCTGACAATGCTCGACACCGTGTTTTAAATCAATTACCTGAAGTGATAATTGTTTGTTATCAGTAAGGGGAATTTCGTAAATGAGACACTTGATAAATCAGTGCACTGACAAATGCAGACATCATAAAGTAATTTACATGAATTTACTAAAAAGAGACTACTGGAATTACAATATTTTGATACACTAAACCAACATTACCAATTCTTGCAGCTCACTATGTTGAATACATCTCTGTCCATTTTGACCATTAGACTTTTGCTTCTGGTGAGATGATCAGATATTATGAGGAAACTAGGTCCAAAACCTTGATTGTTACTTTTTTTCCCAGTCTTATCATAGTGAGACCACAAGAGGAATTGTGCTGTTCTATCAGCTGAACAACATACCTCTGTTGCTGTGTACTTGAAATTGTGTATTTAATAATGGACACTACTCCTCTGCTCACTTGTAAATGAGAGCTACTGAAAAAGCAATGAGCCAAGTTCTGCTTTCTCAGGTCAGGAGTACCACCAATAATGTGAGCGTGTGAGCTGGTGAAACACATGAAGAGTGGTGGCAATAACAGACTGACCCATAGTAGTGCTTTGCATCTTTAGTCAACTAAATTGACTACAGTTAGATTCGTTGATCCTTAGGACCCCTCCCAACTCAGGATGTTCTATGGTTCTTTGAAATGTAGTCCAGAGAACTACAGGTTGGACACAGTGGAAAATCTTGGCAGGGTGACTGGCAAACCTAAACTCATTCAGACTCATCTTTCCTGTGAACTATAGTCCAGTGCAACAAAAAACCCAACTATGAATACCTGAACAATAAGGTTCTTTTATACAAACACTTCCCGTTACCTCACAGTGACTTGCAGAAAATCTGGCTTATCAATGTAAGGCATTTATTCTGTGTTGCAATCATAACTCACCGCACCAGAAAGCAAGAAGCACAGCAATGTCTGTGTTTGCTAAGCCTGCGTACCAAAGGCAGATACTAGAGGAAACCAAACATGTTTTTATGAGTTACAAAAGAGGACTATCATTTCTACTAGAAGGGATAGGAGCTTTTGGAATGTGCTTTTGGATATAGGAGTGCCTTTCAAAAACTATGGAATATATCTTCAAATGAAAACCATAAATTAAGTGTAATTACTATTTCTGGCAGCTTGCATGAGAAAAATAAAGCATTTATCCTGTCACCTTGGCTCATATTTCAGCACAGTCTCGAGATTCCTGATTCGTGCTTCTGGCATGTCTGCACTGCTGTTGATACATACCTTCACCAAGAATTCTAAAACGCACCTAATTTTCCTTCAGAAATTTGTGCCTATCCTTTGGCTGTTTCAGTTTCATCTTTCATTACATTTAGCCATATGCCATTTCAGGTTGGATATTAGGAAAAATTTCTTCTCAGAACGAGTAGTGAGGCACTGACACAGGCTGCCCAGGGAGTGGTGGAGTCACCATCCCTGAGATGTTGAAAATGTGGAGATGTGGCACCGAGGGACGCGGTCAGTGGGCATGGTTGGGGTGGGCTGGGGTTGGACTACATGATCTTAGTGGTCTTTCCCAACCTTAATGGTTCTATGATGTTATTTTTTCCACATCATTACGCATCCCCATGCCCTTTGTCTTCAATTCCATCAGCCCTACAAGGTCAATCCTTTCTGGAAAAGCCACAAATTACTCCCCCACAAAATCAGTCTGGATGGTTATATATCCAACATACATTTATCTGGTAATACAGGACATTCCAGAGAGGAGGGTCTTTTCTCTTGTGCCTTGTTCAGAATTTTATAATTTAAAATGCTGCCACTATCAGCCACTTTGAAATGACACTGGCAACACAAATTTGCTGTGATTAGGAGGAAATGGGGTTTAAACTCTCATTGATAAAGAAAAATCAATGAAATGTTTAGTTGAGCTTTTATACAGAACCCAAGTGAGCTTCTAGAATTCCCAGTTCCAGTGTGGATCATCTGTACAAGAGATATGTCAAGTAAAGGATGATTTTCCTTGGCAAATGACCTGAGAGAAGTAAATGTGCTTGTACTAAGGCATGAGATTTTTCATTTTTTTGTTTTGATTTTTTTTTAAGTATATATATTTTTGAGTACTTTGCATGAAAGGCTGTAACATATGTTACCATTTTCTATTTAGAAAAGTAAATACAAAAACAAGCATTCCAGAGGACATCAAAAGCTGACAACAAAACTACCAGCCCAGTTTCCTGCAGTGTTTCTACAATGAAATCATTGCATAAGGCAGCATTTCAATCAAAGTTAATGCACATTTAATCTAGTAAACACTTCTTCAAGAGCAGGTTTTCACAAAATGGCCAAGAGACTTACCGATGGCCACCAACCAGCTCATTCCAGCAGACACTCAGTAGGAAACAGCAGTGAGGAGGAGGAAGGGCGCTGCATCTGTTCAAAGCAAAAGGAGTTCCTGTGGTGTCCCTGGACAGTGGAAGAGATTTCTAGGTTTTAATATCTGAAAATAAACAAAGAAATGAATAAAAAACTAGGTCTGCCCCCAGAAGAGGCTGAAACATTTCTCTTTAGAGCAATAGCTGTTGTTTCTTTGAAGGCAGACAAGTTGCTTTGCACACAGAAATAGGTTACTCGGAGTAGCCTTAACATTCTTGGGTTTGATTGTATCTTAGATGAAACAGGCAGAAGAAAACCACCTTATGCTGATTTTATTTTCTGTCTGACAGAACTTCATATGCATTAATTGGCTTTTACCCCTCAGGGTTTTTACAGACAGGTTTACTGCAATAATTCAGGGAGAGGAGGATGCATGGGATGCTCTGGAAACACTCATGCAGGCACGTGCTCCCCAGCAAGCATAAGCAAACAGACCTTAAATCCATATTTGAGACCTTAGGTATAAAAACCTGTTTTTCAGATCACCACCAGATTCTATTGATAACAAAATAATTTACTCTGTGTGTTGCTTTATGTTTAGGCAACACAACACAGCGTGTGATGGAAGTGTTAGTAACCATCCCTCCTTTGTGTAAGCCTTCTTATGCTTGTGAGGCTGTTTCTGAGTACTTCTGATGAGCAGAACAAGTAGGCAGGAGAACCCAGCAAGAAGTGTGAGGCTCTTACCTGACCTGCTGTTTATGTTCAGAGAGAGCAGACCAGAACCTACGCTTTAAAGCAAGGATAATTTTAAAGCATAATGGTAATAATTTTAATAAATCTGGTAATAATTTTACCAGAACTTAGCCAAATTTAAATATTTCAGTCATTACATTTATCTTTTCTATAAAGTTAGACAGGGAGCTTTGCATAGAACTTGCATCAGTTTGTCTCCAGCAGATGTGATGGAAGAGTTCACACAGCTCGAGATGACATCAGTAAATTGTTAACGTGGACCTAATTTCAATGAGCAAAGAACGGATTCAGTTTCTTCTATCTGTAGAAGCAGCACTTGAACAGTCAAGCTTTCAGCCCTCGTGTTAATTACCCCTTCAATACAAACTGAAGAACATCTCCCTTTACATAAAGACTGTTTAGATACTTAAAAAATAATCTCCTATAATAATTTTATCGGTCATTCCATTTTTTTAAGGGAAGTCTTTCTAACTGATTGCTTTCAGTTCATAATTATGAGCAAGCACATATGGAGAGTTGCCGTTATCTCCACAGGGACTGAAAATTGTCAACACCACAAAATATTTTGTAAAAGTAAATATTGAAGATAGTACTAAATATTATTCAAACACACAGTAGTTCGGGATATGTGTCAGTGGAGAATATTGGTGGCAGCTGGACAGTTGGACTTGATATTCTTAAAAATATTTTCCAACCTTAATGATTCCATGACAAATCAGACACTATTCATCATTGGAGCCTAATTTAGTAAAAAAGATAAAAATATCTGAGCAATACTTAGAATTGGAAAGCGTGGCCTAGAGAGACCACTTGCGGTTCATTTCATATCAGCTGCATCTAGATGGATGGAAAAAACTGCATTAACGTACAAGGAATTACCAGTGCCAATATTGGTGAAGAAATAATGAAAAGATGATTGGCATAAACTGTTCAGAAAGCTTATTGCACAGTCCTCAATATTAGATTGAAGTACATCTCAGCTCTGGAATGTCATAAGGTCAGGCTTGAACATGGAACGAAATACTGTGCTCCAGAGTATTGTAAATAAAAGTGGAATTCTCACCCCATGGGAAATTCCAATATGTTGACATTTTTCAGTGCAAACAAAAAAAATATACTGGGTTGGAATCACCGAAACTCTTATATGCAATAGTATAGGAATAGCAAAATAATGTAAATATCATAAAAGTTAAAATGAAAGGAATAAAATGCCAATAGAGAATATTTGAACGTAGTCAGAGAGAGATAAGGGAGAATTATTCGTTTTGATATTTTCCCATCAAATTTAATCTAAATCAATGTATTCACTTAAGATGATTCATTACTGATGAAATTGCATTGTCTGAATACAAAATTGTAATTTTTTTTCCAGTTGGCTCATTATTAAAGATTGATCAGATTGTAAAAGTGTTGAGAAAAAATCCCTAAGAACTCAACTTCTGCAAATTGGTTCTGCTGAAAGTCGTTTTGATTCAAGTTTCAAAACCCACAGGAACAAAAAGCAAATAGTCGCTGTAATTGTCAATCACATCCAAAGAATGTACAGGAGGCTCAGAGTGACTTCATAACAGGCAGCCAACCAGCCCAACAGCAACCACGAGTCCCTCCACTTGCATGCAGCTCTGTTTCCTGCAGGGCCCATGGGGACACACTTCCAAAGCCTTGGTCACCTCTGCTGAAATCCCACAGTGAGAATACAGAGCCTCTTTTGTACCCATTTGTCAGTGCCAATTTATTGTCCTGTCAAGGAGAAGGGATGTTTGTGTGTCTAACTTTCTTCCCATTGATTTTCTGCTTCCCTCTCTCAGCTGCTGCACCAAATTTCTATGGCCTTACGTATCTCCTTCTTTTTCTTTCCCGTTCTTATTGCGATCCTTTCGTTCTCTTCTTTTAATCTTCACTTCCCATTTTGTTTCAGGTCTTCTTACAAAACATGCTGCAGAGTTTGTGCTGTCACAGACCATAAACATTTTCTCCTCTCCATGGGAATAATTTCCTAACTCATTGACCTGTCTCTTATCCTACATTAAGTTTAAGCACTCCATAGCTCTTTGGGGAAAACAAAACAAAACATTTTATATAAATGGTGTAACTTCAGTAGTATTCTGAAAATAAAGAATAATGAGCAGAAAACTTTTTCTGCAGGGAAGGCAATTTAGTTCTATGCCAAGCTAATTAAGGGAACTCAAGAAGGGATGCCTTCTGTTCAGATGGTGGTATTTTTCTTCTACAGCCCATACTACTTCTGTACATACACTGTACACCCGCTTACCAGGTGCAGAGGGAGATCAAACTTCAGTGTTTCAATGTCTTTAGCTGATTTATTATAATGAAACTACCTCTTACCCAGTAAAAATGATGGCAAGATCAGATAGATGCACCATATTATCCTGGAATTGTTAATAAAGAAAATAAGGAGGACTAACGAAAGAAATTAGTGTAATGTACTTCCTTGTTAACAGACCTTAGATGCTAATGAGCACAAATAAAGTCTAGCTTGGAAACCCAGTTGGCCCTGCTCGTACTCACTGAACCTTCTTGCTTCTTAGGCACTGCTAAACTTCTTGCAGATGCTTAAGTGACTTACAACAAGCATTGCAAAGAGCAAAAATATGAGAAACAGCATGCATCTCTGATTTTACAAGCAATGAGAAGCACTTTAGAATCTGGCCTTCGGACACCACGACTCTAAGAATGGTTTAGTAACTGTAACCTATTTCAAACTCATACCAGAGTCTTTCTTCCTATACAGCCAGTATTTTTATCTATTCTATTTCCAACTGTCTGTTTCAAAAGCCCTCTCAAGGAAGTTTTCTCTTAAGTCTATCTAATTACTGCCAGGTGGCCCTGCCTCGTTCCACCCAAATAATTCCTGTTGGCATTTATATGCTATAATTGTGGACATTTATCACTGGCAGTTCTCTGGGCAGTCTTCTGACTCAGGCAGCAGAATGTACCCCGTGTTTGGCATTTGCTCTGCTTTGTACATTTGCAAAGCACTAAACAACTATTCATTACCTGTACTTGGCAGCTGCCCAAAAACCTGGAGCTTTTCAAGTCGCTTTTCAAGTCCTCATGAGGATGGGAATGCCCTTAAAGCAGCAGTCCCAGGGGCTCGGATTCACATTAATTCCTGCTGCAGTTGAAGTGCTTCTGAGTACTTTTGAACAGCTCAGAGTCCTAGAAAGACAGCGACGTAAATCCTCTCCCTTCATGGTGGGTGCCTTAGAGACAGAGATCATAGAATCACAGAATCATTTGAGTTGGAAGGGTCCCCCTAAAGTCCATCTGGTCCAACCCACCTGCAACAAACAGCGAAACCCACAGCTCCATCAGGTGCTCAGAGCCCATCCAGCCTGACCTTGGCTGTCTTCAGGGTCAGGCCACCTCCTCCCTGGGCAGCCTGTGCCAGTGCCTCACTGCCCTTACTGTAACAAGTCTCAGCTTGGGCTCCGTTACAGGACTACAGAGCTCCAACCAGAGTAAGCTCCAATCTGCCTAGAAGAGATTAAGCAGGAAAATACGCTGCTTACCATTACCTCAGGCAAATGCTGTGGTTGCTTTCTGCTTTACCTTCTTCCAAACAGTCATAAACCTAGAAGCCTTTGCAGTGTGGTTGAAAAATGGAAAATGTACAGAAAAACCTTCAGAAGAATCCTTCAGGTAATCAGTTGTAGGAAATGAGCTTGTCTTTCAGCTTAAGATTTTCTGTTTTGCAGAATTCATGTATTTTTTATTGCTGTTGTTGAGTGAAATAGCTGAATGTTTTCAGGGAAAAGCCCTTCTTTCCCTCTCCAGATTCTGTGCATTTCAGGAGGCACAAGATAAATCACAGATGAAGGGACCCGTTTAGGTGCTGTTTTCCCCAAGAAAATTATCACCCAGTCTACCCTTGCTGGCTGGAACCCAAGAGATTCAAGAGGGTGCAAGCAGTGGGAAACTCCCAGCAGAGACCTCAGGGCAGAGCATTTGGTGTAGCAGTGGGGGGGGGAGGAGTGGGATGGACTCAGCAAACAAACAGCACACACAGTGCTTAGAAATTAAACCAGTAAACAAATGCAAAGCATCGTGCAAGAAAGTATAGAAAGAAGACAGGGCTGGTAAATGGCTGAAACACAATTTGGCTTGATGTGTTTTTCTGGTTTTGCACTGCTGCCTTCTCATGTCTTCAATGAAGTGTCACGTATAATTACTGTTAATAACAACATACAACTTTGCCATGGTTAGTGCATCAGAAAGAAAAATCTGAAAGTCTTCTTTCAAGAACAAACGTATTTGATAAATCAGCAATGATTAAATTTAGCCTTAATTACAGATGATTTTTAGTCATCAAAGCACAGGTAGCTTTGCTAATACAAGTAGCAACATTCATTTAAAGGAGTGAGTGTTGCTAACAAAGAGGATCTGTGAAACAAGGAGGATGTTCACCCATTTATACTATTTTATGCTTAATTGCCCTTTGCAAAAGGAGAGCTGATGAGGGCAGTGCCTAGAAACACCAAAAGGCCAAAATGCTCAAATATTCAGGGATGTGGTTTAGTGGGTTTGGTCATGATGGGCTGATGGTTGGACTGGATGATCTTAGAGTCCTTTCCAACCTTAATGATTCTGTGATTCTATTTGGTTGAAGGGGGAACTCAGATTCAAGCACTTGGTCCGAGAGAGAGAGAGCAGAAACCTGAACTTGCATTTCACATTGCCTCAGTGAAATCTTGAGTACCAAAATGTTTCTAAGCACAAAATAAATTAAAAAAATAAATACACCCTGGATTTTTCTGACACAGATTTCAGCATAGCTGTTAAGGAACACTGAGGTTGTGACAAGCCTGAGTCTCTGACTACTAATTTAGTTGAAAAAGTTCATCTCACTCTAGTTAAAATCTTCTTAGTTCCACCCCAGTGTGTTAATTTTACGCTCTGTCACAAACTTCAGAACAACTTTCGGGCAGTCATTTTCTGCATATCTATTTTCTCAGTATGGTGCAGTAATTTTCCTTCTCCATAAACTTCTCAGAGAAATGGCTGGTCTGCAGTTGTGACAATAGATCATATCTTCCTTCTCACATCTCAGGTTGCTACTGCAATGAAGTTTGGGAATACTCAACACAGGAAAGAAACTTTGCTGACGGAGAAATCAGCGCTGTTCAGTCTGAGCTCTTGGTCTGAACACTACAAAAGTGATTTTGGATACGCTGTGATCCCGCAGATTGCACAACACAACTCCCAGTAGCTTTAGCATCCCAGCAGTCACACCCATTCCTCCAGAGCTCAGGGTAAGTCAGCAGAGCAATAACCTTCCCAGCTCCTATCATGAGGATGTACCGACTTACACGAACTTGAGCAGAGCACACAGCAAAGCACGTGAGAACACCACGCACAGCCCAAATATCTGTTCACCCACTGAATCATAACCTGCTGGTCTTCCATATCTCCACAGTGCTGCAAGCTATTGCATTATTCATTTAGAGCTACGGTGCAACTTGCTTTATTGATTCTGGATTTAATACTGGCTCCGGCGGAGGGAAGGGTCAGATAACGATTACTTAGGGCTCCACAGAGACCCCACAAAGCTAAGTTAAATAACACAATGAGTCATTCAATGCACTTGCCCCTTAATCTCTGCCTGCGGCCACTGCTCCTCTCACACAAGCTCTGTCAACAAAGAGGGATTGTTGCACCTCTGGGCACACGGGTGCTGCCTATCTGAGAGCATGTGCATAAGGAGGAAGAATGACTCTGTTTTTGTTTTCCTATTGCTATGCTGGTAACTTCTTCACCATTTTCTGTGAGAAAGTACTTAAATCAGTGGTGCGCCTGAAGATGAAATTCATAGACAGAGGCTGTGCAGTACATTTTAAAATAAGCCATTACTAAAAAGAGATGATAAAAAAAATGAAATAGATCTGCCCCGCACTTGCAATCTACTTCTACAATCTTTTTAGTGAAAACAGATGATTTAATAGCCATTTTGTGTAAGCAGCAATACAGCTCCTACAGAATCCAACTTGTATTTGGTAATTCCTCACATCCCATCACCAGTGTCCTTAAGCAGCTTTCAGATGCAGTACCAAACTCCATTGCCCTCTGAAACACCTTTACATACCCTTGGAGACTGCTGGTATTGCAGAGTTACTGCTGAGGGCAAAGGGTGAATTGAAGAGAATCACCTTGATCAAAGTACTGCATGGGATTTCAGTAGTGCCCGATGCAAGCTGTACCAGTCAGCCTTAGCAATGCATGAGAAACAGCTGGGATGACTTTTTATTAATAAAGCTATCAATTAAAATAGTTACTGACAACTAAGCACAGATCTCACTTATCATAACAGCACTTTGTAGTTTTTTCTACCTAACAAGGCAGAACAAAGCTTTGAATGTGCCATTCCAAGCCAACTCTCACCTCCTCCGCACCACCTCACTCCTAAGGCAATACTACCATTAAAATGTTAGTCAATAACTCCATGCTCAGCGAGGGTTTGGGTCAGACACCTACATATGCCTCATTGTTATAGATGAAGTGATTTGAGCTTGTATTACAGCTATCAGGTTTTAAAATGCAAATGAAAGAGTGATGTTACAAAGCGTGCCAAGAGAAAAACTGAATCAGACTTCCCAATTCCTAATGTTCAGTCTAAGCCTCATCTTGTTGCCTATCTGGGTCTAATAACTTTGTAAATATACCAGAAAGTGAGATAATTATACTTGGGAAGATGTAGAGAAATCCACCAAGTACAGTACTGACCTTTGAAGGTTTTTTTTTTTTTCTCCTGCAAGTACCTGGCTCCATTCCCTGCTCTAAATCTGTGAAAAAGGGATTTGTCAGGAATTTTGTCTCCCATGAGCCCATATCACAACAAGAGAGCAGGTCTACCTGTCCATTTAGAAGCTTCGACAACAGCTTCTAGGAAGAGATGCAGGTTTCTTTAACTCTGATGGTAAATTAAAAGAAGTTGTGCATTTGAGGGCTGCTTTTGGTTCCTTGGGAACAGAAGATGCAGTAGGAAGTGTCACATCCTCCAAACACATCACCCTGCTCTTCTGCTCCTGAGTGTGCCTTCGCAAAGGATGAGAACAGCTTTGTGAAGTGAAAACCAGACTTTGAGAGACCAGCTCCAGCTCTTGGCCTCTAGGTTTAATACCTGAAGCACAGGAGGTGTCATGCATGGGTTTGTGTGCAAAGACAATCGACATGCTGTCCTCAGTCCTCCTTCCTGCTTCGAAGTGTCTGCATGCCAAGGCACCCAGCTACTGGAGGCAAACATCAGTGGAGGGCTAATCCATGCTAATCCTCGGCCATGTGGATGAATGACATCTATCAACAACAGGTGCGCTGACGTGGCTAGCAGGAATGGGAACATGAAGCAGTAAGTGTGCAGCTTTCTTTGTGACCAAGTTGTTGCTTTCATAAAATAGCTGCTTCTCCAACATAAGGCTCACATCATAGGGATGCTAAAGCACTCAACTGATGATAATCTCAGCACTTCATTCACTGTAAATAAACAGGTTTGGGTAGCAAGTTCAAGGCTTACAGAGAAAAGCGGGTAGCTGAAATTTTGCTACTCATTGAGCACACCTGTAGGAGTAATGCAGACCTAGAGCAGTGATGCAATAAGCTTTTTTATTGAAAAAGAGATGAAATTTTAACATAACAAAGAGAAAGCAGAACCCGCAGTCCATTGTGTGTGATTGCTGTAACAATTTGGTTTACCTTTTCCATCTTAAACGTAGCTCTTTCTTGCTTCCTGAGGTACAAGTGAGATGCTGGAATTGTCTGTATCGCTCCGTGATTCTCCAGGGACACATTAGAAAAGTCTTTGGTAATCAGCTCCACTGAAAAGCAAATGGAAGCGTCTTGGAGTCACTATTATATTATAAAGGAGCCACAGTTTAGGAAGACTGGAATTACTTTATTAAACAGAAAAACATGGTCTATTTAGTAATTCTACCTATTTTAAAATTCAGTCATTTTCTGAAATAGTATTTCCTTTGTTAATTAGAATATTTTAAGGGGTCTAGGGAGAATTAAGTATTGCTTTTTCTATTTTTCAGTTAACCTTAAGCTATCCCATTTCCTTCCTCGTGACTTGATTGTAAAGGATATTATACACTTCATCTTGAAATAAAATGAAAATAAAACTAAGAAGTGTTTGCTTGAGCATTTGCACCAGGTAAGACTACAGCCTGCCTGCAACTGCAGCTAATGCAAATATATTTCTGATCAGTATTATTCCCTCACATCATGTATTGCCATTTGGTGAATCTTGACATAACCATGAACAAATACAAAGGGAGTCCAACCTGTTAGTGAAACTTCTAAATCCCACAGCAACTCGTGGAAATAAACAAATGCACAGCAACCCTCTCTGCACACACAAATCAATTATCAGGGTGCTACTTGGCAGATGGGGTACTTCCCAAGACAAAGGATATAAGCTTCCACTGAAAATACAGCCCTACATATAGCATGAGCTTTTTAAGTGCTGGATTGAAATTTAATGCATATTCACAATACAGCTAACAGTCATTAAAATGAAAATGAATTATCCAACTCTTACTCTCAAGGAAACTTTTCAGTTTCTTCCATCTTCAGAGGTTACAATTGAGTATTTGTATCTTATGCAGCCCAGCTGAATAAGCAGTGTTAGCAAGGTGGAAGCCTATATCAACACAAAAGCCTATGCATTTTTATTAGTATTAGGAAGGGGAACAGGAGGCCATGACAGCAAAGCTTTCTTTACAGCCAAGTCGCTGCTCTGAAAGAATAGCTTCTGCTGTAACATGATGTTCACAACAAAGGGATGCTAATGCACTCAATTGATGCAACACTCAACACTTGATTCGTAATAAGCAGGTTTGGGTAACAAGTACAAGGGCTTACACGAAAGGCAAACAGCAGCAGCACAGAGCAAGCCGCTCTGGTTTGCTTTTCAGGCATTCATTCACCTCCTTAACTCTACATTTATACTTACATGTTCCAGGTAGGATAAAGTGGCTCTCACATGTCTCATCTGCACCTTGTAGGTAACTGCCAAAGAGCTGAGAAATTGCAATTCTTTCTCACTTTCTGCCACACACTTATGTCTTCAAACTTGTCACTTCTTTCTCCTGAGAGGCTTTTTCTAACCTCTTGCTCCTATCAAACACATAAATAAAATCAATGGCAGAAGCAGGGGTTTTTCAAGCACTGGAAAAGGAAAGCTATGAATTTTCTGTCATCATCAGCTGTTGAGACTTGGTTCACTGTACACCAAGCATGATAGCTTTCAGTTGAAGTCAGCTTATTCCCACATTCAATGTATACATACTCACCCCACACCATCATTTCTTCTCATTTCATTTAGAAATTAATCTCTCTAGTTTTCTTTTATGTTGAGAAATTAAGAAAAAACAAAATGGGACATTATTTTCAATACTATTTTGATGTTCCAACACACACTGCAAGCTTGCTCAACTGTCACACTGGGTAGCAAAACACACTCTGCATGTTTTCAAATATTGGAAGTTTTCAGACCTTGATGGAAATGTTGCAGCTGACAAATGACCAAATGCAGCTGGCCAATAGCCAGCCCCAGCTCTGCTGGATGGCGTGCTTCCAACGAGCAGCAAGAGCAAGCTTTGTTGGTTGAGACCTTTCCCAGGCATTTCATTTCTTTGACAGCCCTACTGCTTGTCCCAAAATTCAGAGCTTAACCAAACCGCACCTGCATTAGTCTCCTTTCTGGAACAGGATGTTTCAGCGTTTTGCAATTCCCATTAAATCCACAAACATGTTGGCTCCCAGCACTGCTACATTTATGTGTTGTGCAGCCTGGATTGCTGACAAACCCAGAGTTGGGTAAAACTCTACAAACACGCAAAGGCTGCAGCCAGAACAGCAGCGTTGTTACATCCAAAGTATTCTTCCACTGCACAGGAACAGAGCACAGAAGCAGCAAAGAAAATAATGAATGAAGTGAGGACCAAAGGTAGCTAATGTTAGTTGCAATAGATTGCAAGTTAAAACATACCTGACTTTTTTTTTTTTTTCCAAAGCAAACCATCTTCTCTTATAAAGGAGTTCTTGTATCGTTTTTAAGTTCTAATGGTTTGCCTAGAACTCAAGATCAGTACAAAAGAAAAAAAAAAATCAATTATTTGCTACAGATGGCCACTGGAATCAGTGGCAGCTGTGATATGGATGGGGAGATTACAGCAGTATGGCATTTTACCCATCTTGTTAGTTAGAGATTATACCGCATTAGATGATATTAAGAGGGTGGAGGGAATGAGAGCCCAGCTAAGACAGTGATGTATAGTGGAGTTGGATGAGCTAATTTTAGGCCATTTAAGCTCAGAAACTGGCAGCAATTTCTTCCTGAGATCTCAGTTAAAACTAATTTACCTTGAATCATGTGCTTCACTCATCCTGCAGATCACCAAAATGTAAAACTATCATGCACTTAGAGGATGAAAAAATACCATGCTAGTTCCTGCAGGTTACATAAAAACGCTTTTAGAAGCTGTAGTGCCAAGAGGACATGACTTGCATTTTTAGACTTATGAACGCTCTTCCAAAGTAATTAAAAATGACATGCCCTATTAAATCACTTATAACAGACTATAACAAAGCATATGATGCAGAGTTTGCTTGAAGAAACCAATTATGCAGTACAGCTCGGTACAAGGCCAAAGCTTCAAAGCAATTTTCAGATTTCATGGATTACATATGCTTCAGAAAAGGATAATTTTTTTTTTTTTTTAAAGCACAAGGAAGATGCACTGAAAATATGATGCAATATTTTCCACTTCATTTTTTTTTGTTACTCTCAATAAGAAGTCTATTACAAATCTCATCTCTGGCACAAATATTTACAAATAAGAGGGGAGCACTTTGAAGGGGACAGGCCTGTCTTTGTAATTAACTTTGGTCTAAGTAAAGCAGAGGTACTGATTAAATGATGGGTGGCATGCAGCTTCGGTGTTGCACATCTATTCCTGCCAAAGAATGCTACTGATAGAATTCAGGCGTAGGACCCACTTCAAGTCTTTGCAATGTAGCTACTCCAGCATACTTGAAAGAGCACGGGTTCTAACAGCATGTACCTCATGAAACATTTAAGGTTTTCTTCCACTGTCTCAAACATTTTGGATGTACATACACTTAACAATAAGTCTCTTCTGATTTTTTTTTTTTCTAAGAAACCATTGATATAGTAACATTGTCCTTAAGGAATCACATCAATTCCTTGAAATTCAACCAAACTATTTCATCTCCACATCAACACTTGTAAAGTGTCTGCACTATGCCTACCGATTCTCCATTCAAGGATTCAAAGATGAACAAAAATGAAATATTTGGGTGAAAACGGAGATGCGTGAGAACCCTGGTAAGCCTGTGACACATGCAAACAGATCTTTTTAATCTAAAATTTAGCTTTTTAAAATAATTTTTTTTTAAAGTCTTATCATATATTGGTAATAATTCACAAGGAAGATATAGAATACTTCCATCTCCAATTATGATAACACCAATAGAGAACAGACACATTGCAGGATAAAGAAGGAATTGTTGTAATGACAAAAAGATTAGAAGGCGATGTTGGCTTTTAGCCAGAGGGCTTGTTAAATCTGTAAAGAAGTTTCAAAATGCCCAAGACCATAGCAATTTATTTTTTCTTTAAATAATGAAAGATCTTGCCTTGTCCTGATAATAATCACAACAAAAGCAAAAGACTCTTGATATTTTTTCAGTGTTTAATGTTGGTTTTGACAGTAACTATCAGACACTCATTGCTATTAGCGGAGACGAAATCTGGGCTGCCTAAAGCATAAGCTTATCAGGAACGCTTCCACTCAGACCTCTGAGAGGCATAAGTTTATGGCAGATGACAGGCAATTAAAAGCAATGACACCTTATTATAAGGAGTAGAGATAATAATTGAAAAATACAAATATGCTTGGAGCTGGGGCAAACCGAGTTCAGTTGCCAAACAGCCAAAAGCCTTCATCAGCTAAGCTTGGTAACCTGCTGTTTCTGCTGTCCCAGAAAATGAATCTTGGTCATCCTTTCATAAAAAAGCTTTTGGAAAATCAAATGTTAATTTGTAAATGTGAAGAATTTGACTTGCTTTGTTGCCAGAGTTGAAGATGTTCTAGCACCATATTCAGATTCCATTCATATTTGTATGAGTTAAAGTTAATAACATACATCTCTTTGGCTTCAAGTATCTATAGACTCACTAGGAGCTTTATTTTTGAAAATAAAAAGATAAAATGACTGAAGATGACCAATTCCAACACCTGCTCCTCTGCCCATACCATCTTGAAAACACTAGAAGTAATACCAAAGCTACAAGGTTAATACTGGGTAGCTCACAACTCAGTAAAAACTTTGGGATTATTGCGATATATATTTTTTTGATTTTATTGTTATTTTCCAAGATACTTGTGCTGGTTTTGATAAAGAGACATGTCAGTTGATGGCTGTACTCCTATTGCATTACAATTAGCATATACGCTACAGTAAAATACGTAAAGTGCATTATAAAAGTCTTATTGATCTCCTTTACAACAGCAATAGAACTTTCTTCTATCAGTGATTTATCCCATCTTCCCAAATCCTAGCAAATAACTCAGAACTCACTGCTATGTGCTGAAATGACAACATGAAGAATAGCTCTGGTGTGTAAAAGCATCTAAGAATTATTACTTGGCCTTTGAAACCAAATGCCCTAATCATCTAGAGTTCAATCCATGATTCTCAGAAAGCCATAAAGCTTTTAAACATTCGTTCTATGCTTTAAAGAGTTACATCTCAGGAATTACCAGGGCAAGTCCTTGAATTCCCTGCACTGGTAGCATTTGCCTCCCAAAGTTCTAAAATTAACTTGGTTGCATTTTAATAGATTTTAGATCTGGACATTTTTAATGCACCAAAAAAGATAGCTTTGGATCGAGTATTATCTGTTTAATATGTAAAGACTATTAGTGTAATATGGGATAAGGAGAAGTCTCCCATGTCTGGCTGATCTGTAATCAGAACTAGATTACAGCTTTTAGGACTGGGAGGCAAAACTGGAAAGCGTGCATAAACATCTCCACTCTGCTATTGATTCTAAAACTCTCCCAGATTCTACAGACAGCCTTAGGAAATAGTTACCTTAAGATGCAGGGTGTTCTCTTGCCTTTACGACTCTAATTTCTCTCATAATGAGATCATAACCAGGTAGAACACAATGAGCATCAACACAAGTGACTACGATTTTAAGCAGATCTCTTCATACTTATGTACCTTTTTAAACTCAGCCCAACACTTAGTAGAAGCTTATCTGTGTAAGTAAAAACATATCTGTCATTTAAAAAATAATGGCTTTTAAATATTCCACATTCTACTGAGAGTTCAAAATAGCCTTACGTTGCAGATAGATCATTTCCTATTTGCAATGTTAAACAGCAATTCTATTTACTTGCTGTAAATGAAAAAACAATGAAAGTTTAGGTATGTTTACACCCCAGGATCATACAGAGACAGATGTGATTCCTAATCATATCCAATGGATCCAATGCAGCTGGCCCAGATGAACCCACTATGCTCAGTGGTGCAAAAAACAGTTTCTGCACGCTTCTCACACCCCCAAACTGGATAAGACAAGCAGACCTCCCTTCCCTCTCACATTGCCCTTTGGGGGCCGGCCCCCCCCCCCCCCAACATGAGGACCTGAATGTGTTCCACCAAATTTTAAAGAACAGTTTTGTGAGAAACCTTAGATGTGTCATTTGACAAAATGCACTGCTCTTCCTCAGAGAAGTAATCCACATTGCCCTTCTTGCTCACATTATGGGCCTCTGCTCTGGCAGAGATGAAAATACAGAAAGGCTTCATCATAAGATCAGAAACAGAGCAGCAGTATGACGAGTTAATTGCTTTGGTTCCCAAAACAATTATTAATTCTTAACAACAAAATCAGCTGGAGGCTTTCATTAAAAATGCTGCAGCTATTTGGTATCGTTTTCCTGCTGCCTGAAGGTCAGAAGGTACAGTCCAATCTACCAGATTCACAGGCTTCCCCACCACCTAGAAAATATTTTACCTTCATAGCGTACAACACAAACGGAATCCCTGCCCACTCACTCACCTCAATCCAGGTAACAGAAAGAGATTGCAGCTCAGGCAAGTGATCTTGGTGTAAAATATCCATCCCATTTTTCAACTGTTATGCATCTCGCTGTTCATTTGGTGCTCATTGAAAACACTTTCCTTTTTTAAAAAAGAAATCAAAAGATTTGAAACGTGCTACTTCGTGAAGTTCTGAGTATAAGAGAGAATATTTTACCTACTGCACCTCTCATTATAAAATACAGCCTATTCTCTGCTTTGGAAAACTTGCCTCCTTTTCCACATGGATTCATTCAAAAAGCAGTAAAATATCTAAAGATGAATTTGCCCCCCTTTTACTTTAATTAAGATGAATGAATTTTTCCTATTGTGGTATCTTCAGAGAGATAACAGATGTCTCCAACAGGTTAAAGAAACCTTCACAAAAATGAGAAGAAAAATGAAAGCCTTACTCTCCATCAGGATTCTAATTTTGTACTTCATCAGGACTTTTCCTCATTTTTGGAAATGTTATCACAAAGTCCTCCTTTCTGCATCTGTTTGGTACTACAGCATACGCTAATTTGGATTTATTACTGTTGCAGTAACCACTCAAACAGACCCTTGTGAGATAAAGGTTTGCTGATGCGCTTTGGTTTTGCACATATGATTCACTTCAGCATATGCAGACATATGGTTTGACAGTGCGATAATTTGGAAGCAGGGAAGATAGTAAACACCTGTTTTGCTTTGAGTAAAACCAGGACTCAGGAACTGGCACTAGAAACACTGCCCTGTTTATGATTTTTAAGTTAGACTATGCCTTTCTTT